GCGAACGGTCATTTAATCGTTTTTTCGATACAGAACATTTTCATTAATTACCATTTAATTGGTGTTTCAACGTAACAAAAACACTTTACGTTAATTTTCCATGGACGAGTGTAGTCAGTAGGTAGTTTCAGGGAAATAATTGGTTTAAGTGCTCCAAAAACGAGAATAATTAGATGAATAATCTAAAAATGCTATAAGGTGGTCCGATTTCACTTTCATTCTTGAAAAAATAATACGATCAGTGAATTATAACAATTTATGGACGTTAGTCACAAGAACTATCTTGTTACTAACGTGTGAACTAATGCAATCAGTGAGATCGAAAACTGTGATGGAATGCCGAGAAGCACTGTGCTGCCTGTGTCAAGGCGGTGCTACTCTGTGCTGGGTGCCAGGCCACAACAATGTGGTAGGCAATCAGGAAGCAGACAGACTCACCAAAGATAGGACCAGGGGAGAGGCCGTGGCAGATGACCCACCACTTGTGACGATCAACACACTGAAGGAAGCTCTAGGAACTGCCATCAAGGCCAAGCAGCAAGAGACGTGGCAACACCGTGAGGACTGCGCTACAGCTCGAAGACTATGGCCACTGGTAGATAGCAAAAAGACAAAACAACTACTAGAACACACACAAAAGAACCTAGTACACATTATTGTAGGTGTCGTCACTGGAAACTGTCCCACGGGGGTAAACGTCGTGAGATGGAAAATTTCCAACGACGATTACTGCAGAGAGTGCGGAGAGGAAGAAGAAACCATAGAGCACCTGCTGTGCCACTATCCGGCACTGGAATACCGACGGTTTAACGTTTTAGGGCAAAGTTTTTTGGAGAGACTAGAGGAAGCAGAAGCCAACATCAGCGACATCGGGAACTTTGCAAAGAGCTGGAAGTGCTTTAACGCAAAGATATAATGAGAGGAAGGTTTGGTACAACAATACAGGGTATCGCAATGGGCCCAAGGCCTCCGAGTGAGGGATCAAACATGATTCCCAAACCCCAGCAACCTAACCTAACCTAACGTGTGAACTATCTTGTTACTACTTTCTTAGTGTATAAAGGGCATTAGCCTGGAGAGCTATAATATCATGACAGAGAATTAGAAGATTTTGCTTCTAACATTGGTAATTCATATAAAAAAACAGCTTTTTAATTAATAATGTTTTTTTTGTTTCAAAACTGTAAAAACATTACAAAAAAAAAGAACGTTTTTAAGCTAGTCAGAATGAGTGGCCTATGTTATAGTACGTAATAGAGTGGCTAATGATAAATCATCCTTAATTTTTTCATATGGTTCTTCTTTCTCTTTTATTAATTGAGTTAAATCTATTACTTCGAAATAGATATCTTCTTCTTCCATTTCTTTCTCAGCAGCTTCTATCATGTTCATTCTTAGATGTTCTTCTCCAATTAGTAAATTATAATTATGGGCAATATAAGTAAGTTTTCCGACCCTTTCCACGGTAAGTTTGTTTCCTCTTGGCCGATGGACAAATCCATAAGTAGTAATAGGTTCTTTTGGTTGCGACTCTTTACGATGGTAAATTAAACGGTGCTTATCATCCCCTGGACCCTTCAAATGTTAATAGAATTATCGAAAAAATGTTAACACGCAAAGAAGGGCGTAATTACGTGATTGTTGAGTGCAATAGCATTCAATAACTCAACTTTCCCGGATATTCAACTCTCCCGAAACAACATTTTATAGCTTAACAACTTGATCACACCGACTTGATCAAAAGCAAAAATGGATTCAAGCAGCTCGACGAAAAAAGTGAGGAAACAGTTTCCATTATACAACTAGTGCTTAATTTTTTATGGATATCTTCTAAAATTATAATTAGACAAAAAATATATAACAGTAGAACAGCTGCTGCTTTTCTATAAACCTTACTGACTGCTCACAAATTGTCTTTTAAGACATACCTCTAAATATATTTTGTTTATCTTATCGACATAATGGATTCATAAATAATGAAGCCCAATAAATACAAAGAATACAATTATTGTAGTAATTATTTAGAATTATTACACCAATATATTTTATTTTCTTTAATTGTTTGACATTATGATTCTAATAAAATATATATTATCAGAGTTCAAACATATTACGAATGTCCAATACGGTTTTTTATGTCTAGCACATATTATCCTATGGTTACCTTTGTATAGATGTAATGATGCAAGTGTCTTGCGTCAGTATATTTTGGCAAAAGAACAACAGCTTTTAGCCAAAATAATCGTAATTAAGGCACTTTGTACTTGTAAGCCGGAGACGACCTTTTTCACTTCAAAAAACATAAGTTTTTTCCCATCGGACTTTGAGCAGTTGTCTGTCCTTAATCGATATTTGTGAATAATTTCTGTATATTATCGACTTTTAATTGTATATTATATTCGTTTTCTAATACAGCTCATAAGTTAAAGCTATTTTAAACATACTTTATAACAATATAATAATGTTATTACTTAACACATATTGAACTAATGTTTCTTTGAATATGGTGATCCTTCTGACCGAAACGTTGTGTTAATCAAAATAACTAAAGTCAATCGAAGTTCAAAATTCTTTTAGTTTCGGTACTGAATCATTATCTACCACATTTAAAGAAAACGTTGGAAAACCGGTACAGACCCGGTATCAGAGAGAAATTCCGAAGCTACGTGAAGAGCAAAATTAAGCTGACTAAGGAGGAAGCACATATTTCCTTCTTATGTACCACCACGGGATAAAAACATCATTCCCAGTGGCTTCTCATCAAGTCACCGATCCCAGGAGCAACAGCTAGATGCATATTAGACAACGCTAGTCAAGCATTGATTCGATCCCCAATTACTACAGTTGGAAGAAATCAATGCTAAATGACATCCAGCAAAAGTTTGAAGAAATTAAAGGACTAACTTTGGACGGAGACCATACACAATAATGGAGAAAATTGATAGGACATGCTATAGAGTCAAAGTAGACATCCAGAAGACTCATAAAAGAAAACTGGTAAAATTCGAAAGCTGGTAGCGAAAGTGATAAAAACGACAATCGTCAAGTTATTCTCTAGGGTTTTCTCCAATTCTGAAGAACAAATCTTGAGCAAGAGTATCAACTTTGCTCTAGCTCCACAAAAGATACCTACCCTGGACACTATAAGTTCAATGGAAACATTGAAAGTTGAGGGTCGAGATGCAGATGAATTGAGATGGAAAGTACGAACTTCCAACACAACGAAGGAAGAACAAGCTGCAATTATAGAACTACGGAAGGGACAACACCATTAAGATTCTACCAGCGGACAAAGGTAAGGCCACAGTTATATTCCACGCCCATGAGTACGATCGAAAAATCGAGTTGACTCTGGCTAAGGACAAAAATAGCTTAATATCTAGTGATCCTACTAAGACAATTGAAGGAAAAATCTACCGAGCTTTATACAAATATAGGAATCTTTACATATCTTTATGCGTTACCAAAAATTCACAATGATAGTGTGCGAATGAGACCTATCACTAGTTCAAGAGATTCAGCAACTAGCAATTTAAGTGGATTTCTCCTCCAAATTGTCCAAAAATTAGTAGGAAAAACAACTTTATTTGTTAAGAATTCCAAACATTTTGGAGATATACTTAAGAACATAGAATTAGGACCTTCAGATTTCCCAATATGGATGAGATTGTACTCAGATTGGGAAATAGAAGTTTTGCTCTGCCTGCAAAAACGAAATAAATCACACTTGAAGTCTTTTTCAAAATGATTTGTGATTAAATCTTTATTCAGAAATAGAAAAAGATTTAACTTAAGTCATTAAAAAGATTTGTCTTTTTATAAAAGTAAGATTTTTATATATTTTTATGGTAAATTTTTAACATTTCTTTTTAAACTGTTAGGCGGCAGCCAAGCAGCAGAATAAAAAAAAAACAATCAATACCACCAATAAATAAAATGTTAGTTTTTCGGAACCAGTTTTGATTGTATGTCGTGTTACGCGTGCGTAGTGACTCTGTTGTCTTTCAAGTGAATCCCCGACTCCGTTATGTAGCCCGAAAAACGAACGAAAGAAATTTATCTCGAATATATTGAAGAGTACCTTAAAATCCTCCGGCCCTTAGCTTATGCCATGGATATATTAGATAGTGATCAAAACACATCACTATTTTTTAATAGACATGTATTCGATGACATCTATCTGTAATGGATATAGTTATATAAAGTACTACAAAATCGGTTAAATTTTATAAAAAAAAATATTTTTGTGTTTGAAGTTGTTCTCAAAATTAACCGTTTTATTTTATGTGGTTTTAGTCTCATCTGTATCTACAATAAATTAATAACATGGTACTTAGTAAGAAAATCGCCTAATTGGTAATAAAAGAAAATTATTATTATTACTTGTAACTGACTAACCTGGTTATAATTAATACTTATAACTGACTAACCTGATTAGTTTAAGAAGGGTTTAAGGTTGCCAACTTTTAAAAATAAAAATAGAGGACGAGAGGGTAAAAAAGAAGCGCAGGCGAAACATTTTTTGAAACCTCGTCCAAATGTCTAGAATTTACCAAAAAGTTATGTAAACGGCATGCGATTGATGGTCTTTCTTTCTTTCTTAAAAAAATTATAAGTACTCAAAACTTAAAATAAAACAAACTAATTTCAACAAAACTTTTTTTTCTGAACATAATCTAACAGTAAGTAAACATAAAATAGTTAAATTAGTTATGTTTATCGCTTCTACAAATACTTCTTGTAAATACATAAATGTTGTATTTCTTCATTTTCTTTTCTGTACAAACGAGTGGGAGTATTAAAAGACACAGATTAAATTTTTTTTAAAGCATAATGGCGATAGACGAATATTTTTTAGATTTTGAGGTTGGTATGTAAAAAAGAGGACTTTTTCAATACGCGAGAGAAAAGAGGACTGTCCCCTGGAATAGAGGACGGTTGGCAATCTTAGGTTAGTTTAAAATGCAGTAAAAATCTTAAATATAGTAATAAGATCTTACCTGGATTTTCTCAACAACTTATTCCTCACGCTTTGCAGCTTTCCATTCTCCCCTCCATTCTTGCCCCCCTCGAATCCGTGCACGAAACACAACATGGCCGCCGGATCCGTCATGCACGCAACGCTGTGCTGTTTGCGGATCGGCAGAGTCGCGATGACGTCATCTTGGTGACAGATGCTCGCGGTCGGCTCGACTTCGAGAGTGGGGATAAGGAGGGGAAGGTTTGTCGGGCGATGACCTATGATGAGGATTTTTCGGTACCACCCTGTAGGACGTATGGCGACGCTGTTCGGGTTTATATGTTTCTTGTAACGGATGTGAATGGGGTGGTTTATCGCATTGTCGTTTCTTCGATTCACTGTGATATATTTATAAAGATTGTATGAAAGGTATCTGAGACTCATTTAACTAAACGATTGGATGGATGATCGGAGAAATTTTAAAATACGCATGTATGGGGATTAAAACTCAAAGGCGGTTCGTTAGAGTTTTGGGGAATAAAAGAATCAGGATTGTCCATGAAAGCTTTTAATTTATCTGAAATTAAGATAAAATAGACATTTTTAATAAAGTTGATAATACCGGGTGAGTCTCAAAAGTGGCTCACCCCGGTGACCAAACCAAACTTTTTTATTTTTTCCGATAAAAAAACGAAATTTGGTATGTTAGTATATAACAGAAATTAGGATTGATTGACATATTCAATTGTTTTCGGTCACTTCCTGTTTCAAAAGAAATGACTACAACTTTTGCTTTTTAAATGGCACCCTGGGTATTTTTTTACTTTACTGTATAGAAAATAACATTCTGAATAGAATGACATATCATATGTCAACTTTTGACATTTTCGCATATGGTTTATTTGACATTATAACTGGTAACGAAAATTTGACTCGAAATACCAAGTGTGTGGTATCAAATTATTCGTAAAAAAATGCTTTTTCTAAATATGCTAATGAGCCACCCTCGTTCCATTTGAAAAAATTGAGATATGATTAGAAATACGATTTGAGCATTTTCTAACTGCCCAAGACAATAAGACACTAAAAACATTAGACGATCAAATCTGATTTTCCAAAGCTCCTTGATTTAGAATTAGTGTTTTTAACATAGCCATGGCACTCTAGATTGAATTTTAAAATACGATTTTTTATTAAGCGAGAACGTCAAAAGTTGACATATGATATGTCATTGTATTCAGAATGTCATTTTCTATCGAATAAAGTAAAAAAATACCGAGGGTGCCATTGGTAGACGAGAGCCTGTACCTCTACGCCACCGGGCACCTTATTAATACTCATTTAATTATTAATACTCATATAATATTAATACCTAATATTAATATTTATTTAATTATTATACTCTGTAATTCGATTCTATGTCCATGACTTTTTTGTGGAACTTTGCTGTCTTTTAGACTAAAATGCATTTAGTTCTTTATAATAATATTCCTTGGCCACATTCTCATTAACAAAACCATCACTATTTTGTGCCATTTCCTAATTTTGAAAGAGGAGTTCAAGAAATGTTCCTTGGATAAATTTAGGTTAGTTATACCAATTCCGCGTAAAATGTTTTGTGCAATCTACTAGTCTTCATTAGGCATTTTGAAAAATGACTGAAAACAAGTAATTTTACAGAGCAAATATCATGAGAATTTTATGCAGTAAATATCATCATTGTTTAATATTTTAATATGCCTAATTCTGATTAGGCATTTTGCAAAACGACTGAAAACAGATAGGTTCTTTGTAAAATATCCTTCTTTTGATTAAAATGTCGGCGTTTTATAATAGGCCTAGGCTTTTTGCAAAATGCCGAATTTATTCGATACGCCTGCAACACATAATTTTACGAATATATTGAAGTATATGTATGAAATATCCTCGGAAATATTCTAATCTTTTAAGACGTGAGTTAATGCATGGAAAAAACTGAACAAATATTGAATATAAAAATTAGATGTAATCCCCAGTATAATCGGATTTTTGGCGTGTGACCTTAAAGGAATTTTCAATATTAATAGTTAAGATTAAGCGAGATCCTAAATATGATTAAAGAATTAAATATAAAAATACCGTATGATCGAAAAAAAAACGGCGTCAAAGTTTGGCTCTCTGATGCCAATTACTAAAAATTGACATAAAAATTGAAAAAAACTAACACTAATTGTAGGAAGATTAAAAAAGGAGAGAATGTTTCCAGGCACAGAAATCTATTTTCAAAAAAAAAATATTTTTATCGAATTCTGAACTACACATTTAAAAATAATTTTTATTTACTTAGTAGTAAGCCCTTAAGACTTGATCTCACCAAAAATGCCATCAATTGTCCCCAGCCGTCTTTGACGCCGTTTTTTTTTTCGATCTTTTTTTTTTTTTTTTTTTTTTTTTTTTTTTAATAATTTAATTTAATTCAACATAATCAGAGACCAAATATTTTTTTAATATTATTCATTAACACGTTTAAAATAATCATGACTGTAAATTAAAATTAAAAGAAGACAATAAAATGAAAATATGTATATCAAAACTTACTTACTCCGAAAATACTTAAATACTATTTACTAAAAGCGTATGAGTATTTACTCATAACACTGAAAACTAAAAATGTGTTAAGCTACTATCTGAGACTTTTATATTATAATATCAACTGGACTTAATGCATAAAAATTACTTACACAACATATAAATAAATATATTAGTGATAAACATAAATATATATGTAATTCAATACCACTACAGCGTGCCCAGCACTAAAATAACTAATTTAGCTTTAGCAACATCAAAATTATCTTGTAATATATACTGTAATATTTTTTTAAAATAAACTTAGATACTTATAGAAATTAACGTAATTATAAAAATACAATTGTACATACTATTCGTTAACTTTCTTATCAAGAATGTTTACTCAATGACGCGATTTTGAAATTAACACAATATACTTATTTTATTAAAACATTGATTATGTTTTTAAATTGCACTATTAAAAATTTATAAGAAACTCTGACCAAATCGAACAGGGTTAACTGATAAAAAACACAAATTTATAAAAAAAAAAAAAAAAAAAAAAAAAAAAAACATCTTAAAAAATTACGAGACTAAATGTGAAATTATATTCACCAAACTTTCCTAAAATTCTTGTATCAGGTACAATTTATTTTTATGCCTATAAAATGGATTTTAATATAAATAAAATGAATTTGAAATTATTTTTTTTTTTTTAATTTCCTTCTTTGTTTGTGTAAAAATACCTCGAAAATACCTTAAGATCACCGAGAGTACTCGTACAAAGTTTGAGATCCGATTTACCTTAATATTTAGGTTGAAATAATTGTAGATATGTAGTTTATTGTATTCCTAAAAAAGGTATGAAGTGTTTTGTATTTCCAAATAATATGTATAAGGCGATTTTTATTGGATTTATTCGCTTTTGAATAAAAAAGTAAAAAATGTATATTTTTCAAAAACTTTTTTATTATTTTTAAATCTAATTTTCTATTTGTTACTAAACTTCTAAGGGTTGGCAAAGGTTAGTTTTGGGTCGAGATTTCCGTATTAAGAAGAGTACAATGCGTTTATAATGTACTGAACAAAGAGAGGACAGTAAAATGTTGCCAAACGTATGAAAATGAAATAAACCGAGAAACTAACACACATATTGCTAAGAGACGTAGAAAGGGGTATAGCAGATTTGTCGCAGTTGATCGGTCGACCCAAACAATACCTGTCAGTACCAAATACCAAATCAGTACTTAAAGTTCTAGGGAAAGGTGTACGTTATGCGTTCAGCTTCACGATTTAATTACGTCTCGTAATTTGTTTATTTATTAACGAGTCGTTGTAAGCTAGCAATACGTAACTGAAACTAAGGCCACTGA